ATAAGCAGTAATAACCTTCTTCTTGTTGATGATTCGAGGATCACCACGCTTATAGTAAAGTCCAAGGGTGCTACCATATGCCATTTCAGCAAACTCAAAATTGTGTTTAATCCCAACAGCACCAGAGAGTTCATAATGACCAATATAACCTGATTGAATGTTGGATTTTCGTGTAATTTGAGTCATTAACTTTATAGGAGAGAGTGCACATCTTTCACGGTAATTAAGACCTTTAGTTTCCTCCAAGACATCACCTATTAATTATGCTACTAATTAGTTTTGAAGTTCATTGTATTTCTAACTAACTCCAAACGTACCAGGGTAAATATAAATTGGAAATTCAGTTTCCACCATCATTAAATGGTCTTTACAAACCATGTATGTAGTTGTCCCTCTGTCATCAATATTTGTCAAAGGAGTGACACCCCACTGGGAGCAATTGCAGGAGTCAATGTTTTCTATTTTACGATAGAAACTTTCTTCAGGGTAAAGTTTTCTTAAGCAGACGCAACAGACACCATCAGGCTTTTTGGCAGAGAAGGCTTGAAAATCAAGAATTTGTTTTCGTTCCACATGAGAGAAAGACATTAAAGAGTTGTCTTGAACACGGAATCTGGACATGAAGTCTCTCATATTTGATCTTGTAGACATTTTAGCGCTTATTGTAATTATGTATAATTAGAAAGTTCATTATAATTCATTCACGGTTATTTATACTTTTCGTGGTTTTTTTTTCAGGCACAATTAAGTTCTTTGATCACCAATATTTAAAATTAGGAAATGTGTCATGTTGATATGTTTATTAAAAAACAAATAAAAAAAAAAATAGAAAAAAAAATTTAAATTTCCATGTTATTTGAAGTGGCAAAGAGGGCAGCGTCAAAAGGAATAGTATCATCGGCAAGATCGGACAAAATCAAAAACTCTGAGGTCTTAACTCCAGGATTTGGAACTTTTGTCACAACTTTCTTTTCCGCTCTGGCTATGCCTGAGTTTTTTTTCAATCGCTTGACGATTGTTTCTTGGACCGCGATGGGATTGAACATTGGCAGCAAGAGTTTCATTACAACTTTAATTTTTGTTAGTAAAATTCTGTGATACTGAAAACTATTTATGGGTTGGAAATTTGCTTACCCAAGTCCTCGAAAAGATCCTCAAGGGTCTCACAAAAAGATTCCTTGGAAATCTCCTTGTTTTTTCCCTCTACCAAGTGGATATTGTTCCAGTTGTCCCAGACATACTTGAAAAGAATAAATTTACACTTCATGTACTCCACGGATGAAGGGTAAATATCTTCTGAGGCCGGCATACAACCCGCAGAAAAAGCAACACCAATTACATGACCATTATGGTCAACTTCTCTAATTGGAGAGACAGAAGATACTCCAATTCTTACCGAAGCAAAAGCCTTGTTGGAATCGTCAAACGTGTAGGCCGAGACGTTTAAACTCCCTAATAATATTAAAATCGACTCTATCAGTAAATCGAATTTCAAAGCGAGTTAAAATCATATATTACCAATTACTCTATGGGAAGTTCCCTTTCTAAAAAACCTCAAAAAGTAGAACATCATGGGATAATTGAGGCCAGATACCACGAACACAAGTCTCAAACTGGCATCAACACCTTTGGACTCGAGCGAAATTGATTGTCCACTCAAAACTTTCATTTTTGGGACGCTTTCAGTCACGACAACTCTATCACATGTAGCTGTTACCATTTTTCTTGAATTAATTAATTTTTAAAGATGAATAGCAGCAACATTGCAAAGAAATGGTTTTTTATAGAAAAATTGCCATGATTTGTAAAACGTTGCTTGTCTCAATGTGTTATGTAGCAATCTAGTTCATACAAAAAAAGTAGCACGATGTGAAAAGTTGATAGTAATCGAAGGTAAAGAATTTCTTTCTGTCATCACAATGAAAATTGAGGATTAAGATTTAGCACTGACTTTTTTAGACTTATGTGTGTTTTGCGTATTAAGAATTGAGTGTTTGGTCGTCATGAATTATGTGTGTATTTTGTCTTAAGAGCCCATTTTTCTATTATCGCTAAATTGACGTACAGCTATTAAAAAGGGGCATCCGATTTAACATTGTATTAAAGCATTGAAGTTGTATTCAAGTTTTTGAAGTTGTATTTAATTATCTGAAGTTGTATTCAATTATCTGAAGTTGTATTCACTTTGTTTGCAGTCAATCTTCAGTCCCTTTCATTATTCTTTTTTTTTTTTTTTGTCATCTTACTTTTTCTTTTGGGTAGCTTATTTTCCTTCTTTACAAACTTTTGCCTTATTAGATACTAAGGTAACATTATTCATAACTATTTGTACAAATTGATAGCAACGTTTATCAGCTAATATGCAGAGTTACGTTACAATAATAATGTATACCAGTAAAAAATTCAAGATTTTAGTTAGTGCCACTATATTGCGCAATGCTAATTTATTTGTGATAAGCAAAAATAAAAACAATAATTTTTCAAATAGTAAGTTGTTCTAGAAACCAAGAATATTTAGTGCCCTCCTTTTTGTTTCGCTTCTGTAATGATTTGCATATAAAATAATGGTTGGCATTATATTTGCTTTTGTGTAACTTTGATCCATGTGCTTGACTACTTTGTGAAATTTCAATTTTTAGCTTTGAACCAGAATTGGAAAGATATATTTTTTAATGTAGGCACATATAGCTCATGGGAAGAAAAAGTGTATCTTGTTTTTCACATGCCAGGAGTCTGTGCGTCAGAGAAGAGTGAGCTGAGTTACAATAAATGAGTATACACGAGTTGGTAATCATGATAACGAATTTTTTTATTGCATGATTCTAGGTAGTAAACTAATTGTAATACATATATCACATTAGGTATATTACAGATATGTTATGAGTTGCTGTATGTTTTTAAAAAAATCATGTAAAATATTGGAATTTACAGTTATATCGAATATTGCAATTACTAGGACATTGATAATTCAAATAATTTGAAACAGCTATTTGTTCGTAGTAATTTATATGCATATTTATTGAAAAAAAAAGGCTATGTTTTAAAAACATACTGCTCCATAGAGCCATAACTCTTTTTGGATTTATCATTCTTATTAACTCCTGCCTTTTCTTTTCCTTTCGAACCTTCTTTTGTTCTACTGTTCCTTGCAGGATGTTTACCTTTGTTCCTAATTTTATTTCTAGGCATTTCGGAAGAGTATTCATTATCTGACGTAGAATTATCAATATCGTTTGGCTGGTCGTCATGATATGGCACAATTTCTTTGTTCGAATTTATATCCGTATCACCTGATTCTATAGATCTTGTATTATAGGATTCATATGATCCTGTATTACTGTTGATGGAAATGTTTCTCTTTCTTTTGCCATACTGAATCAATTATAATTGTTAGTCTGTATTGATTGCTTTAATGTATGTTTGCTATCTCACGTTAGATTTTTTTATGACTGATGGCCCAGGATTAAATTGCCTTTGGTAAATCTCAGAGGTTTCTGAAATAACATCCTCTTCTACTTCTAACAATCAAAAGATAAATATTTTGTAGTAATACGCTACACATCTTATCAAGTTTGTCATACCTTGTGAATTACTGATTTCTTCTTGTCGCACACTAGACATTGATCTATTGTCAATAACATCTGCCTTTTTGAAAAATTTTGAAGACGACATAGTACTTCTTGAATTTGCAATGTACATATCAAGATTCTGTTGAGCTGTGTTGCTGCTACCAAAGCGGAAAGGCCTTGTGGTAGACGAGCCTTTGCTTTTACCAGAGGAAGAACTGTATTGGCTGCTATTTTGAAGGTGAGATTTTTTTAATGCAGCAATAATACTCAGAGTATTACTACTGGATAAAGTAGATTTTGACGTTTGGCTTGAACTAGAACTATCATCGTCTAAAATGATTCTTCCAAATTTTTGGAACCTCCTATTGGGGAGGTTGGGTGGTTGTTCCTGAGAGAAGGTATCGGACCTGCCAGGGATTTCACTTTCGTTTAAACGTGAGGTTTCGGATATTTCATCATCCACTAATGATACATTATCAAAGTGATGTCTTTCTTCTTCAGAATCTTCAATAATAATGTCATTTACCGAGTAGCCATTTGTAGTTCCGCTTCCTTGGGTATCACCCATCATACCCACACTTTCATTGTTTTCCTGAGTGTTACCATCCGATTGGCTTTCAATTTCATCGTTATCAGAGTGAAGGAAATTTCGATTATGTTGCATATTAACATCTACAGCAATGTCTTCTTCACTTTCATTTTCTAGATATAGTAAGAGGTAATACAAGATGGTATCAAAACCCGCAATTTAGAGTTACACATGATGATCTTTGGTAGCGTACCTTCAGTTGCATGAAAATCAGGAGGACCAAAGGTTTGATTTACGGAAAGGTTGACCATATAGTAACCATTCTTAACACCTTCTTCAAATTGGTTTGGAGATATGTCGGGATGTACCATTCTTTTCATGTGTTCAGGAATTAATGGAATACATGGCAAAATAAATGCAGAAAGACATTTCAGATGAAACTTTTCTTCGAAAATAGTACCCAAAAATGAATTGCCAAGTGCTTGTTGTTCCATTTCACCATTTACGACCATCATCAAGGGCTCTTTTTTTCCCAAAAAGGCATGGAGATCAATTTGAAAGTAGTCTCGAACGCATTTCTCTAATAAAACTATTGTCGTAATAACTTTGACACTGAATTTACTTTTTTTTTATCAGACGTTAATAAAAGTTTAGACTTTAAGGATTAATGATACATACGCGGAAGAAGCCTCATACAGGTGTATAAATGCCTCATTGTTATCTTCGTCACATACTACGGTATGTGGAAAGCAAACGCCGAAAAATGTGGAAACGATGGATTGAACCATATACAATATATTAAAGTGAAATATTATCAAATTAGCAAAAGCAGTAAAAGAAAGCCGAATTTTCTTGGATACTTTTATAAGTAATTTTAATTGTCTCGTATGCACCAATAGGTTTTAGCCCACGTTGAGAGCTTTACTAACAGGTGCCACAGTTGATACATTCATGGTTTTCCAAATGATCGAGTTCAAACATGTAAAAAACACAATAAAATGTAAAATATAATAACAGCAAAATAATCGAATCAATATTATACTGCCTGTTTTTCTGAATAATTACATCAATAATTATTTAGAATGACTTCACTTTAAAGCTGGTCTTTGTTGGAGAAAATGTTTATTTAGGTGAATTTTTAATGTAGTACCGAGTCAATGAACCTTATATTTTTTCATCCCAGCAAAAGCTTCTAATTATTTGGATTTTAAAAAAAAATGTGTTACGACTAGAAAAGTTTGATGACAGATATGCTTAAAAACTTTGGCAATCATACAAAATAAAAATGCTAAAATAATAGTCTTCATCTATATATTAGTAAAGTTTTTTTATCAGCAAGGCAAATTCTGCTTACTCAAAACGATAGCCTAAAGTGCCGATTATAATTGTAAAATAATCATAAGTTGAATCACGTTTATTGGAAATGTGCTTTTTCTGCTTTTCTTCTCTACATATATATTTATATATATCAGTGGTTACTCTTCAGTAACATTATATTATAATCAATGTAAAAGCTTCAATATTCTATAGCTACAGCATGTTCAGTGAGTATTCAGTGCGAATTGACAGAAATAGCTATGAAATCGATTTATCATTAGCATTTGTGGCATGAGATAATAACACTACTCGTAACAGTACACAAGTATATGAATAATGGCTTTACATGTGTGTGTGTGTATCGGTTTTGTAACTTGCAATTTAGTTATTTTTTAAAAAAGAATGTTTCAGCCTTTAAACCTTCTATTTTGACTGTGAGGAATACAAAAAGCTGATTGAGAAGTATAGTTGCGACAAATAGCAATTCTGATGTGCAATAGTTGATTTAGAAAAAACTTGGTCTTCATTTTAAACAGAACTTAACACAACTACTGTTACCAATAGAATAAATATGAGCTGCTTTGAATTCTAATTTAAATGCAGCTTTGAAACCCGTCAAAACGACATAAATTTACCAGATATACAAGTTGTTACTTATCTAATATACAGTACAATGTAAGCTTTTGTAACTTATTCAATGACTTCAATAATATAATGCATAAGGAAAAATTGAATTAACTATCCCACACAACGTGCAATATGGTTTTTATTAGCTGCAGTGGTTTACACTGTGTGGTTGTGGTTAACGGTGACAGATAAAATAACTATTATTCTCCATACAGACGGCTATGGGACAAAGTATTTTTTTAGGCCAGCCAACCTTTTTCCAAATTTTAATAAGATTTAAAAAGCAGTTGATAAGTTAATCTTAATGTATTTTTTACTATGAATACAATGATTCTGAGATTATTTTAATTTGAGCATTAAACACTGGATTGATCTTACCACTTATTTACTGCCTCAAAAAGTATCATAATTTCAAGCTTGAAAAATTTGGATTCTTTTATGTAGTTAAATTACGTTTGCTTTGAGTAGTAATAAGAAAATTTACAGTGCAAGTTAATGACAGGCTATTATTATTTGCCATTTGTGACAGGTAGTTCTAAAAACATTTATCCACTGATTTGACTTTGGTTACCTCTTTTTTTTTAAAATCGTTGATTAATAACATTAAATCATGACTATAATCACGTTTATCATTTTTTTTATCGAGACTTGATACTCACTTAACAGTAAGTAGAGATATTACGTATAGGAATTAAAATTAGCTTTTACATTTACGCTGCAATCATAGAGTATAAAGATGCTTATTTTATCGTAACAAATTATGAAAATTGACGCACTTAAGTGGTTGCTATGATTTGTTTATAGACTGTTCATTATAAATGACTGAGTAGAGAAACATAAGCAAAAAAGTAAATAAAAAGATCTATTAGGTTTCTTAAATTTCTTTCTAGAAATCATTTTCGAAAATCTGTGAAAGCAAAAAATTAAGCGGTTCAAAAACTGTATGATTGTTGATTTAAGAATCAGGTATACATGGAAGGAAAAAAAAAGATTTATCAACTCGTTAAAAAAGGCAATCTAAATAAATAGCATGTTTTTTACAATTAGATTCCTCAACACTCTTTAATTTTATGCCCTCTTTACCTTATCTTATGTAACTTTCTTTGCAATAAATATAGTTTGAAAAAAGAAACATTCTACATTATAATGGTGCTTTATAGTGTTATGTAATCTAAACGTCAGTGTAACATAAATTTCTATATACGTCGATTTTTAGAGTGCATTTTTGGTCGTTGTATTGAGCTGAAACTTTGCATATATCTTTAAGAAAGCATTAATAAGACTTGGTAAAAGTCCCAAAGTGTCTAAGTAGAAACCTGTTGACATATACCAATTTATTGAATTTTGGTCGCCGTATATAGAAGGTATACAGATGACCATATACGGCGAGTAAATTTTGACCCCCTGGGATTAAGATCGTATTAAGCCACATTGCGTATCATGGTTTCAAGAAGCTATGGTCTTAGTTACAGGATAATCCTGTAAAAATTGCGCTTTTAATCCTTGTTTTTATTTTTTTAAAAATTTTACTCGACATAGATAGAAGGTATACAAAGCCTAAAAAAGAACTAGTACTTCCTTCGGAAGTACCAAAATCTATAAAAGGCGATTTTCCAAGCAGGAAGGTGGAGAACAACTTACTAAATGTTAAAAAAAACAATGGTACGATAGGTACGATTATAAGTCCTTGTTACTTTATTTGACTGAAGTTTTAACTATGAAATAATGGGGTCTATTTATACTCTTTTGAAAGCTGACTGTTATTAGAATTGCTAGTCCATAAATTTATCTTGACTGTTGAATTCTACATGAATTAAAAGGTACGCTTGTCGCCGACAGATTGCTTCAATGATTTCTAATAATATTTCCTATCGGCTCTTCCATTGTATTCAATGTGTCAGAGTTCCAAATTTGGACAATTTATATAAATTTGGATTACCGATGATTTTTATTGTATGTGCACTTAGCACATATTCCATTATTCTGACCTAATCCAAACTCTAAATATTTAGAATCCTAAAATAATAATATCCATGATCGTGATCAATCGAACGTGTCGTATTTACTCCTACTATTAAACCGAATATAATTACAATTTAGCTTGCCTCTTCGTTATAACACTTACCATGTTATAACAAGAACTCTAGTGAATATCATTCCTAGTGGTTAAAGGCACAATGCCAGTAACACACAACATTTACTCTGCGATTATATCTTACATTAAATCCAGGTTGTCGTGTAACTGTGGAATCTTATAACATATGTACTTTGATCAAGAACTCTAAAGCCCTTAACTTCAAGTAAAGGAATTATGAATGATTAGATTTATATAAAGACTCCAAACATACAAAAGCGAGGATACATTACGTAAGTAATAAACTCTACCTTATGTTGACATTGATTTGTACTTCAAATTAAGGTATCACCACCTCGTGTCAAACCTTAATTAGAACTGAGCAGAGAAAGTAGCTGAAGTTATAATTCGTATATAAAAAGGCCTCTAATTTTATTCATGACACACTCTCCAATTTATAATAAAGGAACAAAGAGTCTCATTTCTTACTTCCGCCTATAAACACCTACATATATACGAAATTATCACAGAACGTACGTCCAGACGATGAAAAAATTCAAAATCCGCAGGAAAACAATTCCACTACTAGTTCAAATGTACACAACGACGTGGATGAGGATGATTCAAGCGATGAAGATCTTAAAGGGGATTAAGCTGCCCGAGAGTACTTTTGTTCCGGAAGAATATTCTCTGATTCCAGCAGCGATGATGACTTCGAAATGGAGTTATCTAAAAAAGACGCGATGCCGGTATTGCTCGATAGCGACGGTGAGGTCGTTGATGAAGAAATAGATCTTATACAGGAATATGTGGATGAGGTAGAGCAAGAGCTTTTAAAAAGACCAGACGCAATGCAACAAAAAGGTGATTCCGCAAATGGAAGAAATGAAGAAAGGGTAGCAGAGAAGGAAAAAAATATTTCAGATTCAACTTCGCAAGTGGAAAACAAAAAAGCCACAGAATGTGGTATAAGTTCCAACCTTAAAAGCAATACCACCACAGCTGTAGAACAAGGTAAATATATAAAAAAACAAAAAACAATGTTTAAACATGACGATAATTAGGACGAATTATAATAAATACTTAACTGCATTCAATTTTAATTTCGATTTGTAGAATACAGAACTAAAGACAATATTCAACCTTCAATTCGTAAAAGAAGAATTATCAAGCCAGAAACCGATATTAATGAGGATAGTTCAAACACTTTGGATACACAAATAACGCCACCAACCAATACTAATTCGAAAGGAAAAATGCCTAATCGACAAAATGTAGAACCTTTTCGTTTAAATATCTACCATCTTTTGACCCTTTCTTCGGCAAACATTGCGCCAATAACATCAGCGAGAAAAGATAATTTGCAAGCGCCATTTCACCCTTTTTTTAGAAAACGTAATGCTTCCATGTCTACAAGCACATCTGATATTTCAGACAACTCTGCAAGTACACACGCATCATCTGACACAGCTGCCAGTATTGATAACCTTAATACCTAATTTTCTATAGGACAAGAATAGTATGATTTACAAATTATTTTTACCTTAGGTCCAACAAGCAAAAAAAAGAATGAATGTTGCTATTGATAGTGGAAACCACCCGCATACAATGGTAGGATAAAGGAATTAATCATATCTGAATTAAGTAAATCTCATTTATATAATTTAGGGTGTTCTCAAGCAAATTATTTAAAATTTTAAAATCTTGATTTTAATTAAAAATATTTGACCCCATTACTATGGAGGGGTCAAATTTTAAAAAATGTTTTCTGACATTAAAATATCATTTTAACTCGAAAAAGTACTAAAATCACGTCACTCATTTTGTGTGGGAATTCTTTTCTTTCATAACAAATACTAAAAATGTCTAACAACGATAAATTATATTACTACTACCAACTTATTTGCAACCATCGCAATTTAGTTCTCGCTGAATACCAAGCAGCTCATTGAGAGTCAAATAGCATTGAACGAACAGGTGTTTCTTTATTACAAGACCACGTTTTTAGATTCGCCCTCTCTCTTTGAGTTGACGCCTTTTCTCATTCAAGCTCATTTACTGTAACATACCCAACTGAGCCGGTCAACAATCGCCATTCATTCGCCAACTACCATTACTTCCGCATCTCTCACCCTTTTTTGACTGATGACGACAATCCAGGAACCAGCTATCGCGCCATGTACCGTATGAACCGCACTACGTTCGAAAGGGTTGTAAACGAACTATGCAGAGGTCCCGCTTTTCAGTCTAGAGCTGTAAATTTTATCCCTCCATACGTCCAGATTTCATGTGCAATTTGGCGCTTAGCTAACTGTCACGTTGGCTATTGCTGCGCCCACTTGACTATAGGAGTCTCTCACGGTAGTTACAAAAACTTTACGCAACGTTTTGTAAAAGCCGTTGTTAACAAATTCAAGCATCTTATCGAATGGCCCAAGGACGAGCAGCGTGTCGCTGCAATCAAACATGGTTTCGAGTATGGTATAGGCCGCTCTGTTCAGGGTCTACCAGCTGTTCGAGCTTTGGACGGCGAGAACTTTGTGATTGAATCAAGAACGGAACATGCCGAGGATTGGAGGAATCGTAAGGGAGACTTTGCCATGAAACTTACGGCAGTATGTGATGCAAGAGTAAGTTTACTTACATTTCGGTTGGTGAGATAGGTAATAATCTATTTGTCCGATTGTATGCAATGATGTTGATCGTTTTGACATAGGTCGTTCACACGATGCTGCTGCTTTCAACCTCAGTGAGATAGCAACAGTTGCCTTGGAAAACCCCGAAGAATACTTTCCTTTGAATGGGTATATCCTTGCAGGTAAAATATATAAGCGTGAATAAAATCTTCGAAAAAAACTAAATATGTTTTAGACTCGGTATACCCACTATCGCACCATATAATTGTGCCTTATCATGCTTCGGAAGTCCTTGGAAGATCTAATGATACTTTGGCCAAAAAAAAGTTCAACAAGTTCCATTCGTCAACTCCAATGGCCATTGAAAGAGCTTTTGGTATATTGATTTCTCGTTGGAGATTCCTCAGCAAACATATACATCAAGGATACCGGCGATATTGTGGGTATTATCACAGCTTGTTGTATTTTACACAATCTGTGTATTGAGATGAATGACCCTGTTCTGGAATTAGTAGATGATCAGCCGAACGATGTGACGAGCGATGAGCCTGCTGCTAGGCCGGATAGTTCTAGTCAGTCAGTCAACTGCACCGCCTATCGGAATAGTCAAACTAGAAGGGACAACATCAACCCCTATATGCCTCCTCAACAATAAACCAGTAATGTTTGTAACAAAATTATATATTTTTATTGATCAGTATTATTATTATTATTTTGACCCTGTTGGTTTTGATTGGCCATATCCTGAAGGATCGCATCAACAAGTCTTGCCGTTTCCCTGTTACTTTGAGCAAACCGTTCTGCCAATCGATCACTACGTGCAAGTAATGCAGCATTGGCCTCCCGATTATACTGAAGAAAGGACTGAAAGTGGTTGTCCCTTTCCAAAGCTTGAGTTTGTTGCACCCAGTCCAAGACACGCAACATGCTGTTCTCGATGCGTTTGTTCAGACGCCGATGGTAAAGGCAACATCGAAGCTACTTTACCTGGGTAGGTGAAAGGGCTCCGATGCGCGTGCTGGTGGGGATGTGGCGGCTGTTGACACACGGGGTGTCTCTAATCTGCGTTGCAGTGGGAGGTTGATCTTGTTCACCGACAGCAAAGATCCCCTCGGAACGTACATTACTGCTGTTGTAGGTTGGGTATCACAGTACGTAACACATCGTCTGCAGTGTTTGTATGGGCAGTATTCTGGCTAGGACCACCAACAACCTCAGGCTCCAAATTGTCATCATCCTCAGGAGCATCTTCAATTCTTGTTCTGAACTCCCCTGAAATTGAGGAAAACGTGACAGGTGGAAAATATGAAGGTAAGTCTTTCAGAATGCTATATAATTTGTCATAATGAAAGAACGAGCGGGTGTTGCTTGTCCAGTAGAATTACGGGTGGCGTAATTTCTTTTGAAATCCTGCAAAAGATTTGCCCACTTGCTTTTCAACTGTTCGTCCGTCCGAGGAGCACGTTCAACATTTGCTGCATGAAATTCACTCGCAAGAAGGTCAAAAATTTCATTTTTTTCCGCCAATCTTCTAGCCGAATCCATAGCATGGAAGTGCTCATTATACCTTTCAATAAGCAACAAGGTCTCCGCTAGTCCCCATCCAGATCCTCTGAAGCGTTGTGAGCCTTCGAAATCATCTTCATTTTGGCTTCCACTTCCACGTCCACGTCCATTTCCACGTCCACGTCCACTTCCACGTCTACGTCAACGTCCAACGATTCCATTCTGGCTGCTCTCAGGCTGACCATCAATAGGGTAAGAAGCATTATTTTGGTTGTTCATTTTTAAAATAGGTAGAGGCAAAGGTAAAGTATGTTTATTTTGATAAGAATACAAGAAAGATATAAAATAACATTTGCCTCTGTGCCATGTACAAATGACAGTTTAGCATTTTCCCAAATTGGAGTTGTGTTTTTTTGTGACTTTTGATTTTAATTAAAGGATTTATTTTAAAATTTTAAATAATTTGCTTGAGAACACCCCGTATCTGTCTAAATTAAATTACGTATTTCGTTTATTAACTCGAACATATAGCATGATGCTCAAAAAGCAATATTGGGTTGGATATTATGTCAACAATTTTATGCAAATGGGTAATCGAACGTCAAATAGAGTCGAGTCTACACATGCAAACATCAAAAGAAGTAACAACACTTCGTCTGGTAGCATGGCTGTCGTTACAGAAAAAATTGATCTGTGGATTAAAAAAAGAGTACGTAATAGCTGAACCACAGTTTATATTTTGTTTACAATTCTAAAATAAATCTGTTTTCTAGGAAGACTACCGCAACTTACAGTCAATTAAAGAATCCGTCTCTCAACGACCAGTTTTTTTAGAACATGATATCATGGATAAACTTTCCTTGATAAACTTGAATGTTTCCAGCTTTGCTTTCGAAAACATCAAGAATGAGTTGATGGAAATGAAAGCTTCCGAGGAAAACCCTGTCCACGTAAGCCATGTCTTATCTGGTGGGAGCTGCCTCTGTAAGCTTAGAAGAAATTTTAGGCTTCCATGCAGACACACCCTTGCTGTCTCGTTTATCGAAAGAAACAATTCCATTAAACGTGATTCACCAAAGATGGAGAATCTCATATTTTGAGGGCAACGGTAAAAATTCAATGTCTTACAAATTTTATTATCCTTCTTAAAACTAAACTAATAATAATGTACTTCATAGTTGCTACCGTTGCCGAAGTTTCTGCCGAATTGGCTAAAGGTTCTCCGGACGAATTGGATATCAATACAACAGAAATCCAATTAAGACTGGAAAAATTGATGTCTTTATGCAAGGTTTTGGGGAGCCAACAAGAATCCGTTGATCACATATAGGACATGGATGCTTTGATCAGTAAGTATTCAAACGATCGTTTAGAAAACACTCTCGCACCAAACATTGTCGAAATACAGAAGGGTCGTCCTAAAGGCACCAAAAGAAACAAGGTTGGTGTGGAGCACGAAGACGAAAAAATATCTGGCGAGCAAAAAAATGCGAAAAAAATTAAGCAAGAACAAAAAAAAAGTAGAAAACAACAAAACCCAAAAAAATAAACCAAGTCTTCGTAAGCCATCGACAACAGCCATCAATAAGCTCAGATCAAAGTAAATTTATACCCTGCTTAATATTTTACGGTATTAATATCTGTATTTTTTTAGATACAAACCATCTGAAGTAGTAACACGCGACTCTGACAATAGCAATCTATTCAAGATGCTAGATAGTCAATATGCCAACGATGTTCTCGGGTTTGTTAATCCCACTCCCGATGGCAATTGTGGATTTCGCGCTGTCAGTGCTGCTGTTTTTGGACACGAAGAAGCCTGGATCCAGGTCAAAAAAATGATGTTAGCTACTTTTTTAAAGTATGCTAACTCCATGTATGACAGCTACGGTTTAAACGAAGCCTACATAACAAAACAACTTCATCCAACAAAAGCGCCATGTCTTGACAATTTGAATCTTTGCTTTGATTGTTATGGCTGCCCTCAAATAGTTGCTGATACGTTTAGACGACCCGTAATCTTGCTGGCAACAACGCCAAAAACGGACAAATACGATAATCTGTGGAGGGATGATGATGGAAACGTCATTTATACCAAGGATGCAATAACTCTTGTGCCATTTCTTGGTTTAGATTTGGAGAAAATGAATGAACCTATTGTTCTTTTTTTTATTAACAGTCATTTCTATATGATTGAGCCCATTGTTGACTCCAAAACCAAGAAAGCCATTATCCCAAAAAAATGGCCAACCATCAATTTCTCTCGTCAAAAAATATTCAATGCGCACCGGGACATCTGTGTTAACGACGTATCTGAATGTTATCAAAATAACTAAATCTTTTTTTTTTTTACCTAT